TATGGCAAGCAGTTACTAATAAGGAATTGAATATTAGCTGAATTGAAAGTGATAATATGTCTGCAGATGGCTTAACAAAGGCCTTGTCTAGACAGAAATTTGAAAAATTCATTAAGCAATTGAGGCTTGTGAATATTAGTTATTTGGTAGGGGGGGGGTTCACCACCTACACCACTGCCAAAGCTACAGGGGCATGTTGAGCAGAAGTCAGATAACTTGTCAGATGATCAGATCTTCAAAGAAGAAATCAGAGAGTTATAGATTCATCATCTTCTCTTCTCAATCATGATATCAATTTCATTATCTTTGTCTATTGAGCTGACAGAGATTTGCTAGGGGTTTTTCATATGTTTTTCTCATAGTCTCAGTTATAGCATGTTCATCTATAAGTTTCCATGTCTTGTTTGTTAGAAGCAAGACCAGATGCAATATTATAGACACTCAGTCACATGATCATCATGTGCTTCTGTGTCATCTGATAAATTCAGCTTTGGTGTTGCTGGTTAAGGCTTAGTAAGCCAGGAACACGAAAACTTTTCACTGTGAAAGACTGATGGAGAGCCACCAAAACTGAGTGAATTCTTAATCAGTTTGAGGATGCAAGTATTTTCCTCTTGGGTATATATTCTTTAACACAAAAAAAATCAATTTTCAACATTTCAGGACTGTAGTGGAGGTGATTGTGTTGTGATGACCAGACAAAGTGCCTGAGTAGCGAAAACTGGCAACCCAGTCTTTGGTGTGAGATTTCCCACCCACCACAGTGAATTGCCAGGTGAAAATGGAGAGAATAACTAAATGAAACCAGAGCTTTTTAATGAATATATTTTCATTAAATTTGACTTAAAATTGATGGTGTTCCATATCAAGTGCATTGGAGATTCTGCATTTTTTGTTGTGTGTCAGTGAATAGATTGATGAAGATTTATTTGAATTTGAAGTTGCTCAAGAATCTTGCCAGATGAATTGAATCTTTCATGAGAATCAGAAAAATTCAATTGATTTTTGATAAAGAAAAACAGTCAACATCAGTTTCAATCAATATTGATGTGTCTCAAGACTCACCACTCTCATCAGTTCTTTTCTCAATTTACACAAGATATTTTTTTGAAAATTTGATTTTGGAGAAACTGAAAGATGTGAGAATTCCAAGTTACATTAATCACATTGATTTAATTGTTTTTTCTGAATCAGTTGAGAAGAACTGTGATTTGTTGAATAAAGCAATCAGTGTGATGTCTGAAAGACAGACTTTTTATGTTGTTCAATTTAATATGGATAAAACTGAGCTGATTCACTTCATCAATAATTATTCTGAAACAGATTCAGTTTCATTGAATGATCTGACTTTCAAATCAAAAGATCTAGTTAGATGATTGAGAATCTGATTTGACAATCAGCTCACTTTCAAAAGACATGTGGAAATCAAAATTGCATCAGCTGAAAAAGTCTTGAATCAGATAATAAAACTTTCAAATACAGAAAAAGATCTTACTTTTCAAGCAATGAGACAACTGTACATAATATGCATCACTTCTGTTGCTGATTTTGAAGTTTCAGTTTGGTAGAATGGTCAAAAGAGTCTACTTCACAAGTTTGAAAGACTTCAGAATTCAGCTTGAAGAAAAATTTTAGAGACTTTCAGAACTTCTTCAATTTATGCTATGGAAATTGAAGCTGCTATTTCTTCATCCAAAGTGAGATTCAATAAGCTGTGTAGAAACTATGCTTTCAGATTGTTGAAATTGTCAGAAAAACATGCAATCAGAACAAGAGTTTCTTCAAGTTTTTCTCCACATTCAAATGAAATGAAGTGAGATTGGGGAAAGTTTCTGAACTGGAATCAAAATGAACTGTTTCTGAATCATGTTGAACAAACATCTGGAAAAAGAAAGAGAAAAAGAACAAAAAGAATTAAAAAAATCCAAGTCACTTATTTAAACTATGTTCTATGATCTCAGATCAGATTCCTTCTCTGAAGATTGAAATAGTAAATTCAGAATGAAATAAACCTTGGAGTTCAAGTTTGAATGAAATCATTGATATTTAAATTGATTCAGCAGAGAGAATACTTGCAAAGAAAAATCATCAACAACTACTTCTCAATTTAAAAGACTTCTTGACCATGTATTCAGATGATTCACAGTCAGAAAATCTAACTACTCATGCAGATCTTTATATTTCAGAAATAAATCAAAGATATTCTTGAATATTGAGTAAATATATGAAAGTGTTTGATGCTGAGCTCTTTGCAATTGAAAAGACTTTCTTCAATGCTTTGACTTTTTTAAATTCAAGAATTCTTTCAAAACTATGAATGTTTTCTGACAGTCAAGCTGTCATTCAGAGACTCAATGCACAGAATATGAAAGCTGAACTGTTCTATATTGAATCAATTAGAAAAATTGCTAAACAACTTAAGTCTAAAGACATTAAGTGTCATTATCACTGAATTTCAGCTCACATGAGCATTTTTGGCAATGAAGAAGCTGATATTGCTGCAAAGAAAGCAACTGAATTGAGACAAAACTGTGTTGAAAAGTATGTTTCTTTTACTTACATCAAGAGACAAATTAAAGAAATAGCAATGCTTGAATGACTGAAACACATCTTTGAAAATGAAAGTGATTTAAATCACTACTCTCAATTCAATTCAAAATCAAAGTGGAAAGCTTGTTCACTTCTATTTTCCAAACAGATTTGATCAACAATTATTCAGTTGAAATTGAGTCATGGTTACTTTGATTCTTACTTAATAAGACTACCAAATCATGATAGAGAAATCTGCAGACACTGTGACTGCAAAGAAACATCAAGACATTTTCTCATGAATTGTTTAAGTCTGAAAGATGACAGACAACAGTGTTTGAAAGAGTTTAAAATTCCACAACTGTAACTTAAGATTCTATTTAACACTGAATTGAGTTTGAAATGGATGGAAAAGTTTCTCAAACAAACTGAAATAGTCACCAGAAGATGGCTTCTGAATGAAACAGACTAAGTATTTTTAAAGATCTCACTTACAATCTCATTATTTGCTTTTAAATTTCTGTGGAGAAAAGATATAAATCACTGCCCTGACACTCTTGTATGTTTTTCATTTGTTAATTTGTTCATTTGTTAATTTGTCTATGATCATGTCTCTGATCATTGTTGTTGTAACTTAGTTAAATTCTGCAAGACAGCTTGCAGGTAGTCTTCATAGTCTCAGACTGCACAAGACTATAATGAATAATAATAATAATAATAATAATAATAATAATAATAATAATAATAATAATAATAATAATATACAAAAGTGCTTAAAAAAGCTCAAAATTTTACAATTGTTACTAAGTTTTGATTTAATTCTACTTTGAATTTGAAATGTATTTATTATTCATTAACTCATGTATGATTATTTCTTTTATTAAAGTTTTTGTATTTCACATGAATTCTGCAAGACAGCTTGCAGATAGTCTTCATAGTCTCAGACTGTACAAACTATGATAAATAAAAATAATAATGAAGTTCTTGCTCAAAATTCAGAAAAAAAGAAAAGATTAAGATAGAGAACATTTTAATTTATTTCAGTTGAAGACTTATTTAGAAAGATATTTTTCTTTCAGAATACAAATCTTTCAAAAACTAATTTCAGTTTTTCAACAGAAGAGAAAAACTAAAACCAAGTTTTTGCAGAAATTGATCAAGAAAGAGTAAAAGTTTTTAAAAATTTCTGAACAAAAATAGTAGTAATAGCTGACACATTTCTGAACTATTGAAGCACTTTATGTTAGGAATGTTCTAAAACTCAAGAAAATGATGCAAGATAATAAAAGAAAACTTATGAAGTCAGATAAGTAGATATATTTACATAAGAGAATTAATTCACTAAGAATTTTTTAAGAACATTGTCAAACTGAAAGTCTTTTGAATAAATAAGATTTAAGTAAATCACTTGTGAACATAGTTTAATATAGACTGACTGCTGAAACTGAGATTTCACAGCTGACATCCCATCTCTAACAAATTTCACAGAAAATTTAAATGGAACTGAGACTTGATGATTCAAACTGAAGTTACTGAACAGTACTGAAACTTGAGTTTCAACTAAAAATCTAAAATAAAATCTTATTTTACACTATTTTTAGTATCAAAATCATATATAAATATATACATGCATCTTAACTTAATGTAACAATTTTCCTATTTTATCATATTTTGATATAAGAATACACTTTCAAAGTAGAGTTGGAAAAAAATTAGAGTTATTTCAAAGTCTGAATATTTTCTGAAAGAGACTTAAAGCTTAAATATTTAAAATTGAGAATACAATAAGAGTTTTGTCAGTATTTTGAAATGAAATTAAAACTTATTATTAAATTTTAGAAGAGAAATAGAACAAACTGACTTGTACTAATTTTTAAACTAAGTCTTTTGAAAAGCTCTATAGGGATCTATGCAGAGTTTACAAGTTATAAATTCATATAAAATTATCAGATTGCATTGAGAATTTGAGTCTCTTTAAAAACTAAGTGACAATCTCTGTAAAAGATCTGAATACAGATATAGTCAATATCAGATTTTTTTACCATATACTTTGTTCTCACAGAAGATAGTAGTCACATATTCTCACACTTTACCACTTTAGAGTCTCACATTTTACCACTACAGAATCTCATACAGAGATGCTCTGTAGTTCTTTTTCATCTTTCTTTCATCTTCAACTTCTGTCTTCTCTCTCCATGAAAATCTGGAGAAAAATTCAGTAGCAAGGATTAAGAGCTTTCAAATAATTATAATTCCAAAACTTTATTTAACTATAAATTCAGAGTGGGGTACCAAGAACTAGAGATTTTATAGCATTGTATATAATGACTGGGAAAATGATTCACATGGCTAATAGCTTCATCCTCATGCATGACTGCTATTTCTGATTCATTGAACTTTCAGGCAATTGTGGGGTTTCCAGGGTAGTTGGTTCGGGCATGTTTTGCAAAACCTTAGCAACCACCTGTGTGTCATTGTTCCCTGTATTTATGCCTAGCCCGTTTTAAAGGAGAAAATTGTACTGGAGCCACTCTCCGATCCGCTGCATATTGTGGTTGCGCGGTGTCCCCAATTCCATCAACGCCAGGATCTACCAAATTAGTACCACGCTTGAGTTTAAACACTCGCTGCTTTTTCACAATGATTCCACCTTGGTTAAAACCGTCGCATAATTGTCCACCATTTATTGGTTCCAGCCTTGATACCCTCGTTCTTTGCGTCTTCTGGCTACTAAGTAGTGTCTCGTCGCGTTTGCCTGTAATGTTCCGCTCCCCAATTTGTCCAGTTCGGCCGCTATAAGCTGAGCTTCCAACATGGACGTCAGACCTTGAATTAATATCGGTAGCTCGGAAAGTTGGTTTTCTCATCCATATACCAGGAGGTTGTGATGTAGAGCTATCCGCTGAGTCATCCGATGTGAGAGATGGAATCTTGCCATGGCTGTCACTTCGACCTAAGAATGGGGTAACTGAAAACGATGATTTATTGCCCAACGCTACTGAGTCGATTCCGCATACAATACCAGCCCTTACTGCTCCTGGTGTTGCGATTACAATGCGCGATTGTAGCGGAACGCTATCTTGGGGTTCCATATCATCGGTCGATTCCTGTTGAACTGCACAACTTTCACCTGGAGGTCTCAAAAGTCTTGGGTAAAAGCCACTATGAGAATTTTCCACCCTCCCCGACTGTTTGATTTCAGGGTCCTCAAATTGATTGTTGTCTTGGATACGCTTCTCTATTGCTGAATTGGATTGTACTCGGCGCTGCTCCAGGACATGACAGGAGGGTTGCTTAAGGAGACAATTTGCATGCACCTCAAAGTCGTCCTGTCTCTTTTTGTGATGCGGATAGTCTACAGCGTGTGTCAAGTGTTGACCCTCTGTTTCAGTATCCTTGATTCCTTGGTGTAGATGGAAGCTTGCTGGAGGTGATGATCTATTAGAATAGTGGGATGGAGTTGACGGTATAAATACGGGCGACTACCTGTACCTGAACCTGAGGAGGCGACAGGCCCATGGGGATTAGCCATACCTGCCACCTTGGCTTGTAGAATACGGGTTTTGGACTGGTGAAAAATTAATATCATGTAGGAAACAAAACTTGTGTCCACGAACCTGGGATATCCGAAGGTCACGGTAAATTGAGTGAAACATGGTTTGAAGTTGGCTAATGGTGGATCTTGCGAGGAGAAGATGTTGAGAAGAATTTCGAAGTTGTAATGCTAGTTTGCGCCAACAGGTCACAGTATTGAGAATATCAAAAGATAACATATTTCTCTCATGCTCCCCAATAATCCTTGAGACTCTGAGAAGTCGACAATTTTCACCAACCATAGTTCCCGCGATGAAATCAAGCGCAGCATGATATTCTAGGTCATATTTTAAAATACAATCCTATAGGCAATATTAGCTAAGTAAATACAATCAATCGGCCTTATACCTCAGTTTGCACCATTGCCGAAATGAATTTAGAATGAATTTAGAAAGAGAACCATCAATATAATATGTTGTTGAAGAAGAACTAGGGAGCATGACTAGGAAGAAGGCTCGCCACCAAATAGTTATATGGGAGGCGAGCTGAGGAAATGGGATGCGCTGAGCCTAAAGCGGTAGCTGAAGATTGACCAACCGGATGCGGCTAGGACCACTCCCCAACAATCGGCCTTCCAATTTTGAAAGAGGACATATGGAGTACAAGGTCAAAAGTGTTGGAACCTCATCTACTCCATACTGTTAGACAAAAACCCACCCTTTTCATATCAATTAATAATTGAATACATATCAATATGTATATAAATTATAATTAATAGAAGAACACTTTAAGAATACAGTACTAACACAAAAGTTTGTGCGAAACACCCAAAATCTCGGCAGCGCCCAACAACCCTGTTATTTCAAAGCAACAGCACAACCACAGAATGTAATTAATTCCATTAAAATTATAGTAGATTAGTAGATAATTGACTGGAGTATACCATATTAGAAGATCTTTTAAAAATAATTAATCAATAGTGCATATACCAGCTCTTCACAGCAATGATCATATTTATCTGTGTATTCATACTCTTCACTAGATTTTCAAAATACTCATCTTCTATACTCTTTCATGTCTTTTCAATAGCATTAAATAGTGTCTCTGAGTCTGTCTAGAATTCTTTGACATCAAAAGAAGTTCAGAATGCTATAAATATATCAATTCTTTTAGCTTTATTTAGTAGTTTTCAATTAAGTTTAAGTCTGAATTTCTTGCTGACCATTTCATAATTATTATCTCTTTATTAAAGTGACATTTAAGAATAGAACTCTGATTTTTTTCTCAAAAAGCATCTCATATCATCAGTCTGATCTCTTTCTTAAGCTTTTTAACATCAATCATATTCTTATTTCATTTTTGTTGTGATGTACAGAGCATTCATTATTGTTGCTTATTAATGTCATACTTCACTAAACATATATCACTTTATATAATCTTATTTCATTCAGAGAATGATCAATCTTTATATTTAATAGCTCATTGTAATCATTTTTGAGCATGTTCTGATGTTAATTCAGATTTTTTTCTTGCAATTCAGTTTATGATAATGTGTTTTTTGAAAAATTGATAATAAATGTTATGAAATAATTTAAGTTAAACTTTCAGTTATAGTTCTTTTTAGATTATGATAGATTGAACATGATTATAGTGTAAGATTTATCACTTATCTCTTTCTGAACATTTTCTGAGTCTTTCTGATCTTGAGAGACTTTTTTGTTGATCACAGAAGACATTAAAAAGAATGATTCTTTAAATTGTGAATTCAGATAACTTTAGTGTGTCAGATATTACAGAGAGTTTCTTGCCACAATAATGCATTTCTACAGCTTGTACATGTAGATATGAAGAGATCTCATATTCAAATTTTCTATTTTAAGAGATAGATCTTAAAGATGTTCTAGAAGACATTTAAATTATTATAGATTCTGTGAAGTGTAGATGGTAGAAAATCATCACATTGAGACACATAAAATTAAGATTTCACACAAACTTTTGTGGAGTAGCTGTAGTATTATGAAATAATTATAAATTGTTTTTATTATAAATTTTTTCAAATATAATTGTGAGAATCAGAGTTGTGAGTAACATGACAATTATTCATTGATCTTTATAAGTGAGATTAAATTGAGTGGAAAGTAGTTATGAAGAGATCTAAGTATGAGAGAGAGAAAGATAACTTATATTGCTATAACATTATTCAGAATCTTTGGATATGTTGTCACTGATCTTCATAAAGAAGCATCTGTGGCAGATTTTATGTGTTTAGTTAAGCTAGTGAGA